GGCAACAGAGATGCAACCTAAAACAAACCATAATTATCTATTTGTGGTCCCGCTTCAGGCAAACATGAACATAATACAACAGCACACACATGATGTTTGGAGTTCCAGTAAGTTCCACAACCACAGTTCAGGCTCCAGGGGATACTGAGTTCCTCTTATGAACGTTTTTTTTTTCGTTCCTGAATGACACACACACACAAACACACACTCCTGTGCCTTTTTTTTTCCTGGACATTGCTTCAGACTTATACTATCTGTTTCCACAGCTTTGAGCATGCTGACCCAAGAATGTGGACAGCACTCCGGTGCATTGTTTTACAAGGCTGAGCAGAGAGTTTGAGATATAGACTTTTGCTTGTGTGTGTGTGTGTTTGCCCTTGAGTGATGAATTTGTTTTAAAGAGACAAACTGTGACATTCTTTGATTTTGTTTTTTCATTTTTGGCTGCATCTTTGGTGAAATGTAGTCATCGTTTCACAGAGCTGCACACAATGAACTGTCAATATAATGCGTCATCCTGATGAAGAATGAAGATGTTGGTGTTTTTCGAACTCCTTTGATTTAGAGATTCATCCAAACACACTGTGTAAACACTTCTAAAGCCTTCACAGGGTCCAGAGTGAGCTTTGCAAAATGTAATGCCTTCAGTAATGTCGCTCGAGTCAGCATTGGTCAGGTTTAAGCGTAGAATTAAAAGAAAGTCTTTTGTTGGAGGAAGTCAGCTTGACTGCAGTATGCTCCCTCTTTGTGTCTGAGGCTACAGCTAAGTCACTTCAGTCAGGTGAGCTTAGTTATACTGGAGGTAAAGTAGTTAGCTGATTTCTGGTTCTGTCTCATTGTTATTATATCCAGTTTCTTTTGCTTGTTTTAAGTCGGATATTTTTTCCCATTATTTTTTTTCTCACGCTAACAGAAGCTCAAATGCTAATTCTGTTAGTACGAGTGGAAGTTTGTTAGTTCCAGAGGTTGGTGATACAATGTTCCTCTTCTTACGACCAAGAATGCTTTTATGAACTGTTCAGACTGTTGCTGTTAGATGACACTGATTAGAAACACAGAACAGACACCAAAGAAACAATTAGGACTGTAAAGCCCCTGTGGGGAGATTTAAACTGGTTTTGAAACAGAATTAAATTAGGAGTGATGCCATTATATGAAATGTATGACCATCACCCCCCCAACACACACACACACACACACACACACACACACACCACACACACACACCAACACACACACACACACACGTTTTGTTGTCATGCCTTTATCAGCTGCTAGGGACATTTCTGTTGGGTGTAATCGATGTTTTTGTCGACTTTGATCGCCATGAATGTAACTCTGCACAAGTCAGGCAGAGAAGATGGTCTGGTTTGATTTGATTTTTTGGAATCGGCTAATGTGTAACCAAAACATGTGCTGCATCCGTTATTTCTGGTTTGATGTTTCCATGTGAGCGTGCAGCTCATTAATTAACTGTGTACTGACATTAACATTGAAAAAAGAACAAGAATTCCCCCTTCACTGTCACACTTCTCGAAATAGAAATGAAGCCACAGTCCTGCCTTTAATTACAGCACGTGTCATCATGAAGACTCTTTAGAGCTCTTGAAAGTTTTTTTTTTTTTTTTGTTCATGTTGTTTTGTTAGCATATACCACACTGACATTTGAGGGAATAGGCGTTTGCTCTGCTCATCCCACCCCTTCCCGAATGCTCTCTGCTGATACTCCAACTCCGTGACCTGTCTGTCAACCCTTGTTCCCATGGAAATGAGGTAGCAACCTTTGCACCCTGAACACACGCCTGGATTGACGATGTGCCACAACTCTCCAAAAAAAAAGAAGTCTCAACAGCTTGGAGAGATTTGTGTGATAGGTTAATGGTTGGATCGTAAAAGTCCTTCAGAGGCGACATTGTTGAGCTGATGTTGGTTAATAGAGCGATGTGACCCTATTGAAGGTTTTATAGTGAAGGGTGTCTATCTACATACATGCAGCTACAGTTAATGCGGCTAGACAGCCCAGAACAGTAAAAGCTTGGGACGTCACAGTGATTCAAACATAAAAACTGAGGGCCATGCTGCACAACCTGCTGCATACTTTGCCAGGCAAACAAGCAGAGATTGAGTGTCTCTCTCTCTCTCTCTCTCTCTCTCTCTCTCTCTCTCTTCTGTGTGTAGGTGACGCGTCCCCTCAAGAATGTGCTTCTCTTCCTCTCTTCGCTCACTTCAATTTCCCCTCTGCTTCGCTTACTTCACTCACACTGCCGAGAAGTCGCAGCTTGAGGAATCTGGAAAACACCAGCAGGGAATGAGAGGAATTTTCTTTTTTTTTTTTTTTTCTTCTCCCCTTCAGCCCCCCCCCCACACCCCACACCCCCTCCCACCCCTTTTTCTCTCTTACTTTGGATCCCTCTAACACAGCCGGGCTCTTGAGTTTTCTCTGTTTTCTGAATGCGGCCCAACAATAACAACCTCTCATAAACAATGGGGATTGTTGATTGGGGGGTTGAGAAGGAGAGTGGCCGTTGCTGGCCCGTGCGATTGGTTTTGTTGGCAGCGAGCCTCACCAATGCTCCGAAAAGTTTGAAAGCACAGGCTAGATCAGGGGCAGAGACATTTAAGAGTAACTTGTAAAATGCACCATCTCTGAAGGACAATAAACACATGCTTTAGCTCTTTCTTAATCTATCTTTCCTCCAAACTGGACTCTGATGGACCGAACTCTGCAAAAAAGGATACTGGTCAATGTCAGGAGACCGCAAAAGTACAGGGAGGAAAAAAATGCTTTACAGCACCCATAGACTCCTAAGGGGAGTCTGGATCACATTGAGTCGATTTTTTTTTTTAAAGAATTGCCGAGCTCGGCCTATGGGCAAATCACAAAAAGAGTCACATGCCATTTAAAGAGCCGGGCAACAATTAAAGCCTGTGTCTGTGACGGGGAGATGATAATACAGAGTGATGTGTCCTGGAATAACTCCGTCTCCACTGTTTCCATTTTGGAAGAGGACACCGCACATTACTGGACATTGTCCCTCATCTGCTGAACCGTTTTTAAGTCTCTCATACCAGCTAAATCAAAATAAAATGTCAAAACAGATTCTTGTGAATATGGATGGATAAACAAACCACTGTATTTTATTATAATTTCCCACAGGCTGCATACCAGAGGAAGGGTTTTGGAAATACGAAAGTTTTTCCAAAATATCTAAAATGCACAAACAAAACTAACACACTCGGGGCCTTTTTTTTGGTCCTAACAGAAAGGTGAGGAGCTCCCCCTTGTGGACAAAAGAGAACCGACAAGCGGTTTTATGGCAGAAAAGGCCATCAGACATTTTCTCAGATTCATTTTCTCTCTCAGATGAGAATAAATCACCCAAGTCACTTAAAGAATCATGGTTAAGTTATAAGAGCTTTCAGTTTTTATTTATAGTATTTAAAGGACTCATTACAGAAAAAATCAACAACAACAAAAACACATTCAAGCTTCACTCACACACACACACACACACACACACACAAATGACCGGCATTCTCTCCTCATAGTCTTCATCAGCATCCCTTTGTGGAATCAGTGAAGGCTCAAACAGTCACTGGAACGTCATTTGTCGGCAGGTTTGAATGGATCTGACCACGTCTTTACACCTACAGAAATAAACAAATGAACATGATATAAACATTTCAGCAAGTATGACACGCCAACATTACACTTCTTTTAAAGGTACTGTAGTAGTATATTAACTTTTTTGTTGTTATTGTGGTTCATAACATTTCAAATATTGTGAAAAGCTCAATCAATTTTCAAGAAATCTGTGGGGGGGGGGAAATAGGATGCGACCGATATGGGATTTTTGGGTCCCGATACAGATATCGATATTAGGGGGAAAAACCATCAGATACCGATATATTTGTCGATATCTTTCTTAGATCTATCCTCGATTCGTAGATATAGACATACACATATACCGGTTGATCCCTCAAATGCATTCATCAACACAACTGGAAAGTAACTGTGCATGTTCTGTACGTGCAGCAGCGTTTGACACTCTGCTGTGTGGATTACGACAAGCATCATCACGCTTCAGCCACAAAGAGAACTGCTAAGACAACACCATGATACTCAAAGGAAATGCTATTGGACTGGAGGATAAATCTGCAAACATAGGCGCACATCTCACTTGATATGCTAATATTGGCATACTTGTGTAAATCAGTGTAGTGATGATATACACATAGTGATTATTTAACTGTCACAAAAGTTGAACCTTTCACCAGGTGTGTTCCCCATGAACATGCTTGATTTTGTGCTCTTCTTACCCACAGGTTGAACATCTGCCTGCTTGATTCCTGTGCGGTTCATCTTCTGGACTTGTCCTAACAAAGACAGAACAACAAGCTTGTCATTTTTAAAAGACGTACACTTCAGTCTGCACTGTCAGAAGAGGTTCATCCTCAGTCCACTGTCTGTCCTGACTGCAGCTTTCCAGCTTCAACATAAAAGTTCAGAAAACCTGCAACTAAAAAAAAAAACTACTTACACGAAGCTTGGATTTGGAAAGTGGAATTATTTACGTGTGTTTAAATGTGTCTAGCTAAACTACAACCTTACTTCAACAATGACGAGGTGTTTAGTTAATCGTCATATGCAGGTGGTATGAAAACACATAGTAAACTGTGTCATTGTGTAAAAGAAACATTCACATTGAGGTCACTTACTGTATTCGTTGTTATGCGTGAGAGGGTAGAAGAATATCGGGTAAAACGCGGCAGCTATAGCCGTAACAAACCCTCCAAATATCAAGGCTATTTTCTGATTTTTTGACATTTTTGAAGTTTGGGTTTTGAAAGCGCCACTCTCACCTCCAAACGAGCAGTGTTTACATGTAGAGCTTCCGGTTTAAAGGTCGCCTATGCTTAAAAAAAAAAAAAAAAACATGCGTACACAAAAAGCGGCGTCAGGGTTCGCTTGGCGTTTCAGGGCTTCCGTAGTCGAGACACGTGAGTCGTCGTCACATGCTGCGGCACAACAACAACAATAATAAGGAAGTTTGAGAGATGACCTGACAAGTTGCTTAGTCGCCTTTAAGGGTTTTTTAAAAAGATGACGTTTTTGGCCCGGGTCGTGTCTTTACTCTGTTTCTTCTTCTCTTGTGGAGAAAACGAGCCCATTCAAACATTTGTGATCCCTCACAGTCACATGGATGTTGGCTGGGTGTACACTATCCAGGTAGATCTATGGCACCTTGTTCCTTCATTAGGATTGAACTTGTAAATCATATGGTGTGCTATTTTTGTTCTTTTTTTTTTTTTTAAACACACACCAGTGTTACCCATATTTGTATGAGTTAAAGTTGTATTCATGACGTCACCATCTACAGTCTATGGTTCCCACATGTGTCTCTTTCCAACAGGAGAGCATGCACGCCTATGCTGCTAATGTTTACACCACAGTGACTGAGGAGCTGTCAAAGGCTCCAGAGCGCAGGTTCATCGCTGTGGAGCAGGAGTTCTTTCGACTTTGGTGGGACACTGTGGCCACAGAGTCCCATAAGAAACAAGTAAGAGACACATGATAGGCCAATAAACTGCACTGGCATCACAAAAAGAAAACCCAGTAAAGTGGTCTCCATTTATCCAGGTGCGACAGCTTGTCAGAGAGGGTCGACTTGAGTTCATCATCGGGGGACAAGTGATGCATGACGAGGCTGTAACTGACCTAAACGATGAGATACTACAGATGACAGGTACAAACACACACTGTCCTGCGCTTGTACATTTCACTTTGAGAGAATAGTGTTGTAGTCGGGGTGGGGAGGGGTTGTATGTCGCCTGTTTCATTTTCCTCTGTGCTGTTTTTAGAGGGACACGGTTTCCTGTATGAAACATTCGGGGTGCGTCCTCAGTTTTCCTGGCACGTGGATCCATTCGGAGCTTCAGCCACCACCCCGGTCCTCTTCGCCCTGGCTGGGTTCAACGCCCACCTCATCTCCCGCATTGACTATGACCTCAAAGACTCGATGCAGAAAAGCAAGGTATAAGATGACAACCCTAAAAAAAAAAAGAGTTTCATTACACACTTTTATCTTCACATCCAGCCTTAAAATGAGAACATGTTGTGTTTCTGTCATTTTGTCCAGAATCTACAGTTTGTTTGGAGAGGCTCTCCCTCTCTTAAAGAGAAGCAGCAGATCTTCACTCACACTATGGACCAGTTTAGCTATTGCACCCCATCACACCTGCCGTTCTCCAACAGGTAGACCATGTGAAACACTTTATTAGTCCACGTCAGGTTCTCTTTTTCTGCTTCAACAGGACTGCTGTTGTTTTCTTCCAAGACCTCCAACATGGCAGGTCGGCGTATTTTACATCTAGGTATTCACCCACATGTTAACAACAACAAGAAAAGGAAACAATATTCAGTCAATTAAAAAAAATAAGAGGTCAAATGAAACACGTGTGTAAAAATATATTCTTAATTAAACATATACCAAAGTACATAAATACGGAACAATACATAAATATTGCAACAATAGAAATAAATACATAAGTAAAAAGAATATTATGTGCAAATAAAACAAACTAATCAAAGCTATCCAACATAAAATAATGATAGTGATTATCCCATTTACACATTTCCTGTAAGCATACAAAGATACATATTGCTATCATGTATTTTAAAATGATAAATAGCCGTGCAGGTACCTCCACTGGGAGCACTTTTCTCTCTTTCTGCTGTGAGTCAGAATCAGCGTATGTGTATGTGCCTCATCTTCAGGCCGTTGAAGTTTGTGTTCTGGGCGCTCTTGGTAGAAATGAGTGTTGCTCAATAAGACAAGCAGAACATCTACGTTTCAGCTCTGGTTTCTACTGGAATGGGGTCGCCTTGTTTCCTGATCCTCCTAAAAACGGAGCGTACCCCAACATGAGCCTGCCTGTAACCAAGGACACCGTACACGCCTACGCCAAGACCATGGTGGAGAACATCAAAGAGAGAGCGGCGTGGTTCAGGACCAAGCATGTGCTCTGGCCTTGGGTGAGCAGACAGAAATCATTTTCTTAAATATCAAATCCAATAAGTTTTGTACCAGTGGTCCAGCAATTAACTTTCTATCTTAATTCAGAAGACGCTCCTTTTCAAAGTAGAGCTAGTTTAACGTTGTGAGAAGATGCTTACAGATGAAGATTCTGCATATTTCAGTAATGAGGTCCGCCATCATTATGCCTTTGTGCGTCCACAGTGCATCCTCTAAGTCAAAGTCAAAGTCAAAGTCAACTTTATTGTCAATTTCAAAATATGCCAGACATACAGTGGAATCGAAATTGCGTTTGTCTCCGTCCCGCGGTGCAATACAATCAAAATAAGGTAAAATAAGATAAGGTAAAATAGATCAAATAAAAATGAGGTAAAAATAAGATAAATAATATTTACAGTAATACATTCTAAATTGTGCAAAAGGTACAAAATGGTAAATAAAATAAAATAAAATTTAAAGAAAAAGTAAACTTGTGCAGTATGTGCAATGTGCAGTAAACTGAGTGTACTTTTGAATAGTTAGCTTCAGAGTTATTAATCCAGAGTTCTGTAAACTTGTGCAATGTGCAGTAAACTGAGTGTACTCTAAGTTGTAATATTGGTTGTTCCAGTGTGAGGTTTCACATTGAATCAGAATCAGAAATACTTTATTAATCCCAGAGGGAAATGTGATCGTTACAGTTGCTCCAAAATATAAAATATAGCAGTAGAAATATAGTGATACAATATTAATCAATCTTGTCTGTGTCTTGGGATATAAATGTAAATATCTCATGTGATCCTGATTTCACTCTTGAAAAGTGTAAACTCATTTAAAGGTTATTCTGGTTTGTAAAAACTTGTAAGTATGACTCTTTGATGGAAAGTATGTAATTAATAAATCATAATCCTAAAAAAAAAAATATATTAATCAATTAGAATAGGAATGTGAGTAAGATATCAAGAAATAAGTACGAGAAATATTTACACAAATCAGAGTAAGTTACAGCGCGTCAGTGTCACTCGTCACCTCTGTGCTGCTTTTGTTTCAGGGCTGTGACAAGCAGTTCTACAACTCATCCGTCCAGTTCAACAACATGGACCCTCTAATGAAATATATCAACCAGAACAGTAAAGAGTTAGGTGTGACGGTGCAGTATGCCACTCTGAGTGAGTACTTCAAAGCCATCTACCAATCAAATCAGGTCTGGGACCTCCGTGGGAGTGAAGATTTTCTACCGTATTCCACTGGTATGAATCCCTAAAAAAACAAAACAAATACAACACATATGAACAAGGCATTGTCAGTTTTCTTGTTTACATTTTCTCCTGTGTTTTTTTTCTTCTCCCAGAGCCGTACCAGGCATGGACAGGGTTTTACGCCTCCAGAAACATCCTAAAAGGAGTGGCAAGACAGGCCAGTTCCCAGCTTCACGCAGCAGAGACTCTCTTCACCCGGTACAGAATCAGCTTCCCTGATGGACCTGTGGCTAAAGACTGGGCCCTAGACAAACTTAGAGCACTTCGCTGGGCTGTCTCAGAGGTAAAACAAATAACATATTTAACACCTTTACCTGACGTAGCTTATCAGGAATCTATACTTAACATTTTGCTTTATTCTAAACACAAAATGTTTCACGCTGTTGTACATTTTTTTTTTTTTTTTAGGTCCAGCACCATGATGGCATCACTGGCACCGAGTCTCCCAAAGTGGAAAACATGTACCTGCAGCATCTCATGCAGGCCATGATGGGGGTCGAGGAGCTTCTAGCTGCACTCTTCCTGCTGCCTCACAACCTCAACTCACCCAGCATCCTTGGCAGCCGTAACCACAAAAAGGTGTAGATTCTGCAGCTAAAATTCAAAATCATGACTTAATTTTTGTTTTTATTTTTTACAGGGATTAAACAATCTACCATTTATTCAAAGGCTTGGCTAAGTAGGCTAATTACCTCCTGTGTTTTGCATTATACCATTGACTGTATATTAAAATGGACAGGGAAAAAGTCTCCTGAGAGTGAAGCCAAAACATTTGGAGCTCCCACCGCTGACAGGCTGCAGTATAGTTATAAACCCTACCCATTTTTTTTTTTCATAGTTATTAGTTCTAAAAATGTTGATATTCGTTTTTAAATGTATCTCTTCATGACAGGTGGTCATCAGACGTTGGAGCAACACGTCATCGTTTACAACCCGTTAGCGTGGAACATCACCACTATTATCAACGTCAATGCAACTTTCCCCTCAGCTGCTGTCTTTGATGATG